TGTTTCAACAAAAAAAAACTTTATGTAAGATTTTCAAGTCTTAATCATCATCATCAGCAACAAATGAAGAAAAAGAAGAGAAAAATTTTGTCCCGAAGGAAGTCTTAATGTGGTTGTTATGTGTTGTGCATGGGCAACACCTCCTTTGATTTTTGCTTTTTCATAATTTGCATAATGCATTTGCGTTTTCCATTACTATTCTAAGAAGCTAAAGGCGTATTTTTTTCGATTCTAATATTTTCGATTTAGATTTGGTTGTTTTTCCTTTTGTTTTTTTCTTTGATTTTTGTTGTTTTTTGTTTTTGGTTTTTTAGAAAAATCGATCAAATCCACTGTTGCATTGAGCAAAAAAATTGATTTTAATCCTTTTCTGTTTACCGAAAGATAAAATCAAATTTAATTAAAGTATTGATGATGATTGGTCAGTGGTGGTGGTGGTGGTCAGCGATTATCATCATGTTTTTTGTTTTTGTTGTTTTTTCTCATTCGACAATTTCGAAAAGGAAATATTTTTCTTCTTCTTTTTTAGACAAAGTTTACAGCGAAATTCTTGGAAATTTTTCCAATCAAAGCAAGAAGAAGAAGAAAAGGTAATCATTTTCTGAACTAATTTTTTTTGTTGTTTTTTATCTTTGCAAATGATGATGATGATAATCTCGATGGTCACAAATTGATTGATTGTAAATCGACAAACAGAAAAAACAAAACGGTAAGAACCTTTTGTGGTTTTGCTTTGCTCTATGTGTATGTGAATGTAATGTAAGAAGAAGGAAAAAATTCCTGGAAAGAAAATGGCTATCATTTTATTTCTTGGAATGTTTCTCTATTTTTTTTCATCACTTTCATGATGACTTGTGTAATAAGCATCTTTTATTTCGTTGAACTTTGGCCCCATTTTTCTTCTTCTTCCTTGGCTTGTTGTTGTTGAAAATCGTTAAATTACAACAACAACAACAACAATGATGACAAGAATGTGCATTCCATTGTGCGGTTTGTATGATTTTTTTTCTGCTTGTTTTTTCTGTTTGTCGTTCCAAGAATTTATCCTTTTTTTTCTCAATGAAAATTTCTTGTTTGAATGATGGTGGCGGTGTGGTTTATGTGGCGAAATGTGTTTAGTGTTTTTTGCCCTGTCACACACACATTATAGGGTTTACTATGACTAAAATGTTGTTGTTGTGTGACACATTCGATATTTTTCTGAACAATCAAATGGCAATGGAGATGACCATTTGACGAAGAAGGCGTCTTTTATTTTCAATGATGAAAATCAGGCGTCATTTGCTGAATTTGTAGACCAAAAATCAATAATGATTTGAATGCGACAAATTTTTTTGCTTGCGGTCTTTGACTTTGGTTTCTATTTCTACCTTGATTTGCGTGATTTGATTTTTTAAAAATATTTTTATTTTTTTCTGGGGTAATTTTCAAACATTTTTTTTGATCTTTCGGTCTTAGCAAGCTGTTCAACAAAATTTTTCTGATGATGTTGCACAAGTTTAGGTCTTTTTCTTTAAGGTTTTCTTTTGGTGAAAGCAATGCAAAAAAAAACTCATAAATTACAACATTATCTCACCAGTTGGGTTTCCATTGTGTTTGAATGATGTTCGGTTTTCCATTACGAATTTTCAAAACAAAAAAAAAACGATGCGGACGATGACCCATTATTATTGTAAGCACGCGTTACGATTGATTTTTTTTATCCCCGGAAAATTTCTTGGAAAACAAAAAAATCTTTTCCCTTTTTCTTTCTTTTCTTTCGGATTTCTTTCTTGGAGTTTGCATCTCTGAAATAATACCGTTTTTTGCTGGCAGAGCACACCTGGCATATTTCTCTTGTTCGTTTCGTAAAACCAAAAGAAAAAACTGATGATTTGGATCGATCCAAAAAATCTTTTTGGTTTTTCTGTTTTTTACCGCTAATATGATCAGGCAATAAGAAGAAAAAATGAACGGTTTCAACATTGGCAACATTGGAAAAACAAAAAAAAAGTTTATGGAAATTTTTGTTGTTGTTTTTTGAAGAAGAATTTTGAAAAAGATAAACCAAAAAACAAACAACAAAAAATTTTTGGAAAATTTCCCGGAAAAATAAAAATACCAATAAAAATGGATTTTCATTTCCGTAAAGTTTTTTTCTTTCATTCATTTTTGGTTGAATATTCGTCGAAATAGAAAAATTTTTTTTCTTCTAAAAATAGATTTTTCAAACGGATCCAAAAAGGTATCAATCCAGTTGTTGTTGATGACACTTTAGACAAGAAAAACAAAAAATCAAGGTTTTCTGTTTTGTTATCGGAAGTTTATCAGAAATATCATTGTTGTTGTAAATGTTTCCGTCAAACAATCCATTTTTCCAAACATGATTTAATTATTATCTTTGATTATGATGATTATGATGTCTTCTGCGGTTGATTGTTGATTGCAATAACTTTATTTTGATGATAAGCAAACTAAATTAGATAACCAAAATCAAAATCAAATCAAACATACACCTGGAAACATCACCTGTGTGGGACAATGATTACCACACACGTAAACAGTCAACCACACTTGATGATTTTTAATTTGCGAAACCTGATTGATTGATTGATAACAAAAACAAAAACAAATAATTTTAAATTAATTTAACCCCGTTAAACTCCAATGTTACTGAAAAAAAACAGAACAGAACAGAACCAGAATCGAAAATGATGAAGAATAAAGACTCTCCGCTCAAAAGAAAAAGAAAAGAATGAGAGTGGAAAAAAAAAGTTTCGAAATTTATTCAAAAATGAATGCAATCGCCATAATAATAATGGTGGATGATTCATTCCATTCCATTCATTTATTTCCAAATTAGCCTTTATTTTGTCTAATTTTATATCTAAAATATATACTTGTTAATCGTCTACTTTAACCAGAGAAAAAAGAAGCCAAAACCAACAACATTACAAGCATTACAAGCATTAATCATCACATAATCATCGCGTAATCATCACATAATCATAATGTACATTTTGAATACAGGTATTTTCTCTCTCTCTCTCTCCCTTGCTACCTATCATTTTGATTATCAAATGGATTGATGAGAATGGACTTTTGTCATACAAGGCAAAGCAGAGCAGAGCAAAAAAATTAATTAAATTAAAAAAAAACATTTTTGACAGATTTTATCATCATCATCATATTGTTGTTGTTGTTGTCATAAACAAACAAACAAACAAATTTTCTGTTTGTTTTGATGATGATGATCAACATTACATTATGAAATCATCATCGTAATCATCATTTTTTTAAAAAAAATTATAACGGAAAGAATAAGAGCGCAAGTGTGACTTTTTTTCTGACTGTACACACATTTTTTTCTGATTTTGATTTTCATCCGTCCAACCAAAAACCATGGTTAACTTTTAATTCCAAAACAGAATTGTACCCAAACTTCATAACGATAACATTTTTTGCCTCCGAATTACTGTTACAAAACCGATTGATAAGAAAAGAAAAGAAAAGAAAAGGGGTAATTCAAGAACATGATTCACATGAATTTTATGGCTTTTTTTTTGTTTACCTGATTTTTTTCCCGTTATTTAACACACACACACAGGTGATTCATTTTTTTTTATTGTTAACGGTACCTGTTGATTACAACACCCCCTAAAGGTATAATAAATCTGTAATATGTAATATGCAATGTGTGTTAGTAATTGCATAGTGATGGCATAACCGTTATACAATTTCGCTTAATTAAGCGCCTAAAGCCATTTATGACATAACTCTTTCTTGTTTTGACCTAAAGAAGCAAGAAATTTTTTCGCTTTGGAATGCTAAAGGCAAACGAAAAAAATTCAGCTTTTTGGTTGACCTTGACATTTTCAACATTTCGACCAAATCGAAAGGGTTAATACTTTTCGTGCTTTTTTGGCACACTTTGCTGAATACTTTTGCTGTTGCTTTTCCATTGGCCATTCCAATTTTCAAAGTGATAATTAACGTGAAAAAAACAACCAAATTCAAAGTCAGAAAAAAAATTCTTTTCGATTCTCATACGGTAAAAGCCAGCGTAAAAGCCGTACACTTCATTTTCGAAAAGTAAAAAAAAAACAAAACTTTCCAAAATTGATAAATCATATTAGAAGATGAATATCGTTAGTTAGTTTTGTTTCGGCTAAATAATTTATTTTCTTACATAACCTACACACAATGTAGATATAGTGTCATCGTCGATGATGGTGGCAACATTCAAAAAAAGCAAAAATTAACCTGGCCTCTTTACCAAGAAACAAAAAAAAAAAAAAAAAAAAGAAAAAGATCACAAGACCGGCCCGACTTGTACCGATTACCATCATCATTTTGAGAAGAAAAAAAACATAAATCTTTACGGATCATGTGTGTGATACGTTTTTGGACCTTCAAAATGGTCAACTAACTAACCAAGTACCAAACATATAAAAAAAAATCAAAAGGTCAATTGATTATCGTCATGGTGATGGTGGTCTTCATCATTCATTCATTCATTGTCGTTTTGTTTTTTTGCTTCTTTGTTTCATTCGATGATGATGATAATGGACAAAAGAAAACAGAAAAGAAATTTTCAAAAATCAATTGGCCGTTTCAACAACAGAAAAATGTGGTCATAAATAACCGGACTTGTTGTTGTTGTTGTAAATTTATTTTTGCCTTTGAAAAAAACAACAACAAGTTAGTTAGTTGGGTAGATAAGTTTGTGATTTACCATTTTTGTTTTTGATTTTGTTTTTCTGTTTTGTCCAATTGGATAATCAATGGATATCGATGGCAAAGTGAAATGGGAATGATGGGAAAGTTTTCCAGAATTTTTTTTCGAAAAAAATTTTGACAGTGAAAAACTTTCCCGGGAAAACAATGTGTCGTCGACTGTTCAGTATTGAATTGACCAAAATTGATCATCTGTTTTTTTCTGGTTAGTTTTCGCATTTAATTTTGCTTGGCCACATGGCTTTTGAATGAAATTCCAAAATCAAAAACAAAACAAAAAATGGCAATCAACTAAACAACCAAGAGAAAATTTTACCAAAAGAAATCAATTTTCAAAAACAAAAATTTATTCAAACTCAAACTATTGTTTTCATCATTCATTTGAACGAATCACTTGACTGTACTGGAATAAAAAATGGCTGAAGAAGCACAAAAACGTGTACAAACTGAAGTAAATAAATTCCTTACAAATTTAGATCAAACATGTTTACGTAAAATGCAAGTACAAATGTTTCAATGTTCAGCAAAATGTTGTGAAAATAATCAAGCATCAATGGAACAAGTTGCTAGCTGTGTTGAAGATTGTTCATCCAAATTTCGTAAAGCACAAAGCTATATTTCAAATGAAATGTCCGGATTTTTGGTTCGTATTTTTCTTATTTTATTTTGTAAAATTTCTTTTAATTTTCAGAAAATTTCTCCCAAAAAAATTGAATAGAAACGATTAGAACGATGTGCCTTACAATGTCAAGATCAAATACATGATCAAATGAATGCCGATACAACTGATGATCAAATGAAACGTTATGAAACACAATTTGAATCATGTGTAATACGTTGTGCTGATGATACTATTAAAGTGATGCCTGATTTATTTCGTAAAATTAAAGGAATTATCGATAAAGAAGCCTATCATAAAGCCTAAACAAGAGGAATGGGATTCTGGGGGAAGAAAAAAATGTTTGGAGGGGGAAAAACCACCGGTAATCCACCGCGGTAATACATTGCATCATCATCATCATCATCATCATCTTTGTCTTCGTTGATAATTCCTTTTGAACATAGATGTGTTATAATTCCTTTTTTTTGTTTTTTGTTCGAGTAGAAATAGCAAAATTCTATTAATAATTTCACCAAAAAGAAAAAAAATTGCGTAGTCGTTTTTCGATCAATATTTGAATTTGGTTTTTTGTTTTCAATTTTATTCTGGATTTTCTGGTAAATTGATTTTTGTTTTTTGTTTTTTCGATTTTTGTTTTGTGTACCCCGTTCGTACATTGGAGTTAGAGAAACAAACAGAAAAAAAGTGTTGGTGTTTTTTTTTGATCTGATGACATTTTCTGTTTGTTTGTTTGATCGATTAAGATTGGTTTATGTGTGTGCGTAGGGTTAAATCAATTTGATAAACACATCATCAATCCACCACCCTCACCTATTTTTTTTCCAAATCAAAATCAAACGAAAAAATTTTGATAAAATTAAAAAAATTTTTTGATTTTTTTTAAACAAAAAAAAAATCGAACGCGATGAAAATATCGATTGTATCGCGATATTTGTTGCTTGCTTGGTTGGTGTTTGGGCGTCGATATTTTTTTTTGTCTGTTGCGGCCGCTAATGATGATTATTGTGCCGAACTGGCAATTTGCATTCGAGGGAAAAGACAGCCAGTTTTTTTTACTTGTCATTTTTGTTGTGTAACAATTTTGTCGTTTTCTGGTTGCTTGAAAACATTATTCATTCATTTTTTGGCAATCAAAATCAAAATCGTCATCGACAACCACAAGAGAGGCCCGAAAAATTATCCTTAAAACGTACGCACCACAATTATTTTCGTCCATCGAGAATTTGAAAACGTAAGTTTGTAAGAATCCATCATTTTAGGCGATGATGATGTTTTCAACGTCAACGTCAACGATTCGTTCGTTCGTTATTTTGGCTCAATTTCAATTTCGAATGACAAAAACAAGAAATTTCATTTGCCTGTTGCACTCTTTTTTCTTTCTAACTTTCTTTCATTTGGTTGTTATGAGAAAAACAAATCATTTAATAATAATTTCACTAACCAACCAACCAATCAATTATATAGCTGTTGCTCATTAAAGTTTTGTTTTGTTTTTTAGTTATTTAGTTAGACGACGACAAATCCAGATTTTCCAACCATCATCATTGAGTTTTGATCGTTGATTTTTATCTTTAAAGTCAAAGGAAAAGATGTTTCAAAATCGTAAGTTGTTTTCTGTTGGTGAATGTTTGGGTGAAAATTGATTTTTTTATTTGTTTCAAAAAAATAAAGGAAATACATTTGCAACATTACCACGTACACAACGTGGTATGCCATTAGTATTGGGTGGTGATCCAAAAGGAAAAAATTTCCTTTATCCAAATGGAAATTCAATTATAATTCGTAATATTGATAATCCATCGATTGCTGATATTTATACTGAACATTCAACAACAACAACAGTTGCAAAATATTCACCAAGTGGTTTTTATATATGTTCGGCTGATATTGGTGGCCGTATTCGTATCTGGGATACAACACAATCAGAACATATACTTAAAAATGAATTTCAACCATTTGCTGGTAATATTAAAGATTTAGCTTGGTCACCGGATTCACAACGTATTGTTGTTGTTGGTGAAGGACGTGAACGTTTTGGTCATGTTATTATGATGGAAACCGGTACATCAGTGGGTGAAATTGCTGGCCATTCAAAAACAATTAATTCATGTGATTTTCGTCCAGCACGTCCATTTCGTATTGTAACCGGTTCGGAAGATAATTTTGTCGGTATTTATGAAGGACCACCATTTAAATTTAAAACACAATTATCCGATCATAGTCGTTTTGTACAAAGTGTACGTTATTCACCTGATGGTCAATTATTTGCTACCGCTGGTTTTGATGGAAAAATGTTTCTTTATAATGCTAATGATTATAGTAAATTAGGTGAATTTACTGTTGATGAAGGAAAAAAACCAGCACATGCTGGTGGTATTTATGCTATTTCATGGTCGAATGATGGTAAACAAATTTTAAGTAGTTCAGGTGATAAAACCTGTAAAATTTGGGATATTTCAACATTTACTGCCGTTACGTAAGCGTGTTTTAATGAAATTGTTTGATGTTTATTTAATTTGTTTGTTTTGTTTTGTTTTTTAGTGAATTTCCAATGGGTTCCGATGTATTGGATCAACAGGTTAGCTGTTTATGGCAAAATAATCATCTATTATCAGTATCATTATCTGGTTTTATTAATTATTTGGATATAAATAATCCATCAAAACCATTACGTATTGTAAAAGGTCATAATCGTACAATAACTGCATTAACACTCAATACAGCTTCGGATGAACAACAACGTCTTTATACAGGTAGTTGTGATGGTTATATAACACATTGGAATCCAAAAAATGGTGAACATGATCGTATTGTTGGTAAAACACATTCAAATCAAGTTAGCGGTCTAATTTTTGATGGTAATAATCGTATTTATAGTGCCGGTTTTGATGATATTATTCGTACAATCGATGCAAATACTAATGAATTTATTAGTGAATTTAAATTGGATCAACAACCACAAGGATTAACATTAAGTAATGATAAACAAATTCTTATTATTGCCTGTCATTCACAATTACAAATAAGACGTTCAAATGATGGTGGTATACTTTCCACCTTGCCTGCACCATATGAACCATCAAGTATTACTTGTAATCAACAAAATAATGATATTGCTGTTGGTGGTAATCGTGATAGTAAAGTACATGTTTATCAATTTGATGGACAAAAATTAATTGAACGTTCAACAACATTGGATCATCGTGCCGGTATAACGGATGTTTCTTATTCACCTAATGGTAAATATTTAGCTGCTTCGGATCAAAATCGTAAAATTATCTTATATAATACGGATAATTATCAGGTAAAGAAAATCTAGAATTCTGTATAACTTTATTTATCTTATTTTTTTCATTTAAATTTAAATTATTTTAGCCTGCACATGATTTAGAATGGGGTTATCATACAGCACGTGTTAATTGTTTAGCATGGTCACCAGATTCATTATTATTAGCATCGGGTAGTCTTGATACTGGTATTATTATATGGGATTGTTCGAATCCAACCAAACATTTTACGCTTAAAAGTATGTTATTTTTTTCTTTCTTGAAAATTTCCTTTTTTCTAAATTTTTTTTTTCTTATTTAATACAGAAGCACATCCACAAAGTCAAGTAACACAAATTGTATGGCTTAATCAATCGACTATTATTTCGACTGGTCATGATGGTACCATAAAAACCTGGGAAATTAAATTACCATAAACAAAAAACTGATGACCATCAACCAACCAAAAATGTTGACTAAATCTAATTAATCGAACAACAACAAACGAAGATCTCGAAATTACCACCAACCAGCCTTCATTATTTTGTTTTTTTTTTTGTTTTTTGAAAAATATTGCCCCGGATACATAAGGATTAATTGTGTGAATGGAATCTATCATCTTGTTTGGTCTTAAATGGAATATGGCACATACACAAAGAAAACATCCAACAAAACACCCACACTCGATGAATTATTAATATTATCAAACTAAAATAAGATTATATATATTTTTTTCATTATTAATAAATGGTTGATGAATGAATGAATTGAACATTGCATTGGGTTATTATTCTTTGAATTAACATCTCTCTAGATTCTCTCTTTAGAATCCATTATTGTTATTATTTGTTATTTCATTATTTTCATCATGAATCTTGGTTTGTTTTTGTTTTTGTTTTGCTTTTGTTTTTGATGATGAATGAATTCTTTGGGATCATAACTTTTTTGTTTCTGTATAACTGGGTTTTGGATGCTTTTTGTTTCTCTCTCTCTCCTGATATTATAGTATATCCAGGGTTTTGAATCGAAATTAAAGATGAAAAACGTATTAAGCGTGTGTGTGTTTTGATTGATATATCCGGCCAAAAAAAAACAAAATCAAGAAAATTAATACTTTTACTGAACAACTTGCCTAATGATCCTATTTTGATCATCTATCGATCGGTCGATCCACTGATAGTGTAAATAGGATTTTTATCATCAATTTGATTTGATTTCGTTGTTTTTTTCATTTGTTCCTGTTCATTTTGTTTTTTGTTTTTCCTACGTGATAATGAATGAAAAAATACTAATGTTTTGTTTCTGTTGTTGTTGTTCAACTTGTTTATTTTGTTTTCGATGTCCGAAAAAAGAAAAATAAAATCCGGTAAGAATGTAAAATGATTTTTTTCCCTCCTTTTTTTTTTTATTTATCAAGACTATTTCGACTGTAGATTTTGATGAAATTCTTTTTCGGCTCGATTCTTTTTTGTTGTTGGTTGATTGGTGAACATGGCAACCGAATTATATTGATTATTTGAGAGAGAGTGAGAGATGTTTTTTCGAAACTAAAATATGCTAATTTCAAATCGATTTTCAACAAAAGAAAAAGAATCGATTATCCGTGAGTAGTATCGATGATGTGATCGATTCAATTCGATTCGTTTTTTACAAATTGAATTTGATTTATTTTCTCTCTGCTGTTGTTGTTGTCGTTGTTTCTGGTATTGAAACTTTTTCTATGTTTCAAATGTTTTTGTATAAATACCTTTTGCACAAGAATAATCCTTGTGTTAGGTGTTAATTTTGTTGTATTTTCAGTGTGATTATTATTATTCCATGTGAATACAGAATCAAGGAATTTTCTTCTGTTTTCAACAAAAAAAAAAAAGTTTCAGTTTCAGAGTTTTTCAGTTCGGAGTGTCGAAATTCTGCAATTAAATTTGAATTTCGGAACCAAAAAAAAACTAACTAACAAGCAGTGAATGAAGAGGAAGAAGAAATTCTTGTTTGAAACAAAAAAAAAAAGTTTAAAAAAGCTTAAAACAAATCAAACGAAAAGAGAGTTTTACTATTGTCATGTGATTTTGTCATTCATTTGCCTTTGAAATGAAAACTTTATTTTTTGTTATACTTTTTCTTTTTGAACAGAAAAAAATCATTATTTTTTTTCTGTCGAATGTTTGTGATCCAGCGAAATGGATAGCTGATGCTGTTATTGCGTTTGTTCGTTGAGAATATTCATCACAACCATGCGATGGTAGTAGAGAGAGAGAGAGAGACATCAGCAGTTGGGATTATGTAAAATCCAAATAGAATTTTCAAAATTTTTCAAGTTTTCAATTCTGAAATAACCAAAAAAAAAAATTTTCATTTTTTTGTGTCGAAAATGTCATTCGATTTGTCAGGATTTTTTCTTTCTTTCTTTTTTTTCGGCCAGACGAAAAACTAAAGAAGAAAATTTCTTTCCCCAAAATCAAATTCAAATATCCGGGTTTTCTTTTCACTTTTTTTTGTGGGGGATGTTCATCGCTTATTGTTTTCCTACAGGGAAGAAATGATGATGATGATGATCATCATCATCATAAATTATTTTGATGAGGATCCATTTTTCTATATTTATCCTTCCTACTAAAACAATGAATGAATGAAAAACGACGACGAATGAAAGCGATATGAAATAGGAATATTAAAATGGCCAAAAAGAATCCATTTTTTCTCTGATCTTTTGATTCTTTCTCTTCTGTATGGATTCTGGTGATGAGAATCCAGAATCCACAAAGCAAACATCATCATTAAATTAATTATTTGGCTATCATCATTATGGTGTGTTCGATATACAATGTGTGTTCATTGAATAATCATTTTTACTTGGTTCTGTCTTTTCTTTTCTTGTTTTGTTTTCTACAGATATTCGGTTGATTTGTGTATGATGATTAAATTCAAACGAAACGAAACGAAAATTGCTGACATTCTTTTTTTTTCTTTTCTTTTCTTCTTTTCGAAATTCATTGTTATCAATGATAAAGATGTATTCGTAAAGATTGTCAATTTTTTTTTTTTTGATTCAAAACAGAGATTCCAATGTTTTTTTTTTTTTTTTAAAAAAGTTTTTTAAGGGTTTTTTTTTTGGGGAT